GTGCCTAAATTTTAAACCATAGGGAACACTCGTGCCAATTTCTTATTTTTTGTTTATTATTTGGGTTTCCCTTTTTAAAAATTTATTTATCTCTTCGTTTCCTTTTCTAGATTTTTTTTAACTCTTTTCAATTTTTTATAATCTTTAAAAAACTCAAAATTCTTTGTGTTTGATATAATAAAATTAACATACACTACATCTATCTCAAATTAAACATTTTCACCTTTTTTTTTAGAATTTTTTTTGGAAAGTTCGAAAACATTCAAAATAAAAATAATACATTATGAAAAAACGAAAAAATTTAAATATGCAAAAAAAGTCTTATGCAAAAAAACTTTAGAATTGGGATGTCCAAAGAGGATATTCATTTTTATTTTTGTTTTATTTTTTTCTTATTTAATTCCTCATTTTTTGAAGTTCTCAAAAAAAGTTTTACTTTTTTTCAGAAAACAAAAACAAAAGTTATTAATTTGAGACGTACAGATACAGTATATGTTATTTTTTTCAAATAAGAATAATTTTAAATTTGAAGAACATTACAAAAATAATTTTAAAAAGAAATTTAAAAAACCTTGACTAGTAAAAGAAACAAATAAAGGAAAAAACTGGAAAACAAAAAAAACGAGAAATATCAGAGGGGTAATATGTACCAATGTCCCCTTTTTCACTGGAAAAATGGGTAGAAAATTATCAGAGGGGGTATGAGTGCAATGCTTTGAAACCATAGAAACTTTAGAAATAAATTTTAAAGACATAGAGTATTGGTGCCTATTTTGCAAACCACGTGGGTACTAGTGCTATTCGACCTAGAAAAAAATTATGTTATGTGCGGAGATCTATGGGCGAAGAATAAGGATCGATTGACTTTTATAGATAGATCCGAGAGCGCGCAGGGAGGCGAGGGACGAAGAACAAGTGAAGTCCATAGAAATCTCTTGTTGTGAGAAAATATTTGTGTACATATATTTTTGATAGAAAATCCAACAAAATTCATAGATTGTATAATACCTCAAAAATTTTAAAGACTCTTGAAAATCCCTATCAAATACTTCAAGATTTATTTAAAAAAATTGAAAATCCCTATTGAATACTTCAAGGTTTTTAAAAAATTTTGAAAATCCATATTTAATGCTCACAAATGTGGGTGTCTAAAAAATTCCAGACTCCTAATTTTATTTAAGACAAAAATGCTCATTTCGTCCTAGCGTGTTTGTTTAGTTTGATTTTTTAAAAATTAGACAGAAAAATATTTGATCATCAGATAATTAAACATTATTCGGGTACATTTTATATTAATGAAAAAAATGTTTTTTAGAAATTATTTTACAAAATAAATCTAATTAAATAATACCTTTTTTCACTCTTTCAAAATAAATTTTACAGTCTCCCTTCTAAATAATACTCTAAAACCTTTATATATGAGTTAAAATCTTTATCTATACTCTAAAACATGTCAAACATTGAATTTAATTGGGACAAAAATACTTTCTCCGTTCTAGCATGTTTTTCTAGTTTGACTTTTTACAGTCAAATAGAAAAACCTTTCATCTTTGGTTAAATAAACACTACTTAAATATATTTTATATTAATAAATTAAAGAATTTTAGAAATTGTTTTACAAAACAAATTAAATCATGTTCATTCCAATTTTTTTTCTACTTTTATTTGATTGATAATCCAAATTCATCTAACTTAATTGAAAAAATCAAATTAAACAAATATATAGAGATGGAGATTGTACTCTCCCATCCAAGTGTATTTATCTATTTTTAATTTATTGAGTAACGTAGATGAACTTTAATTATCAATTACTCTTTATTTGTATTGTCTATTAATATAATGAAATAAAAATTTAAAAATTTTAAACAATTTAAATATAATAAAATTATTTTTATAATTATATACTTTGTACATTAGAGTTTTTATTAAATTATGTTCAAAATTCTTTCAGTCTAATTCAAAAATGTCAAATTAAACAAATACCAAAATAGTACTCCCTCAGTCCCTAAAAACCCTACATGTTTTAATTTTTGTGGTCAAACATTGATATGTACTATTATTGTATTTATCTTAAAATGTATTTTTGATATGTCAAATTTTTATATTATTTATTTATTTAGATTATATTAAATTTATGGTTAAAGAGTATTAGTATTTAGCCAAAAAAAGTTAAAAATTAGAAGAGTTTTTGCAAGACGGATGGAGTATCTAATAGAATTTAGGATGAGTATGGACATTTGGATTTGGGTAATAAGACACTTGAGTTGAACCACATTAAAAGATTGAATCCAATCGATTAGTTAGTTCAACTCAAGAGCTTATATACCGATTATTAACACTCTCCCTCAAGTGGACAACCGGGCCATTTTGAATCTAACCGGTTGACCACTTGCAAATGAACTCTCATTCCCTTGACTTCTTTTTTTAGCGCCAACACCTAAAGGACCACGAGCCGCTGGATATGGACTTCAAGACGAGCAATCGTGTTAAATGGGCCACATGCCGTTGAGTACATACTCCGTACGGACAACTGAGCTAAAGACTAATGGGCCGCTAGGAATGAACGTCTAGACGGACACCTTGACAAAGAAGGTGAGCCAAACCCTGCTCTGATACCATGATAGAATTTAGGATGGATATGGACAATTGGATTTGGGTAATAAGACACTTGAGTTGAACCATATTAAAAGATTAGATCCAATCGATTAGTTAGTTCAACTCAAGAGCTTATATACCGATTATTTTACTCTTGAACTTCCGATGTGAGATACACTCTAACAGTATCATTTGGGAAAGGGTTGAGGTGGGGGAATTTAAAATGAAAAAAATGTCATTGCCAAAGGTGAAATGAGAAATATTCCCCCCATCCCACGGCGTCTCACTTTTTGCTTTTCTCTTTACTTCCTTTTTCATGGCGAAAGGTGAAAGGGTCATGCTACGTTTACACCAAAAATTGTACCCCATTTGTACACCGCAGTTATACACAAACATTTTGATGGTTTACACTGACACAAGTGTTGGTACGTTAACAAAAATTTATACGGACACAAAGTGTTGGTGCATTAAACAAAATTAGTTTTACACCAACACAAAATGTTGGTGCAAACCTGCGGTGTACAAAATGGGGTACACAAGTTTGGGGTACAAATAGCTTTATCCAAGGTGAAATGAGAAATATTCCCACGTTACTTTTGTGGTTTTTTTGGACTTTGGTTGCTTAATTTTGAAGAGATCTTTTGATTGGTGAATTGTTTCAGTTTAGAGAAAAATTCACTCCCTCCAATGAATGATTGAATGATTAAAACGAGAGCAAAATAAAGAATGAATAAAAATAAAACTTTTATATTTTTATCCTAAAAATTTGACTAGCAATACTAAAATATAATAACAAAAAATATGGTGAAGTAAGAATATACAATATTACATCGGTGTAATAAATCTATTTTTAGAATAAAAACATGTCATTCTTTTTCTTGAGAATCGTGGTTATGTTTTGCCCTATTTTCGGCAATTTCTTTTCCCAAAATAAATGAGGTTTATTTTTTTACAAAATTTAAAAAGTAAATTTATTTGGTTGAGATTTATGATTAGAAAAGAAAATTAATGTAGACCACAGAATCCATTCCTTAAACAAATGAAAAATTTACTTTGAGGTAACCCAGAATAAACTCTTCTTTCTTTTTTTTAACTTTTTAGGTTAAAATTTTAATCAGAACATCAACCAAACTTATAAGGTACAACAATTGCAAGAGATGTGATTGTGAGGGGAAGAAGTTGGGGTGTGGGTTTATGAGGGGAAGTGATGGTATCTATCAAACGTGGTGTTGGGTGCACAAAATTGATACAACTCTTTTGTATAATTCTTCTATTCTTAGCTTTGGTATTTTCACTTTTAATAGCACTAGGTGTCAGCCTGTTGGTCCCTAGGCAACTATTGTATCTCTTGTTTTCACTATCTTAATAAACATTTTTTTAAAGCATATATATATATAGATTGACTCTAGTGAGATGACACCTTACGGTGAGATGACATGCTTCGGTCAGATGACGCAACGCTCACCACACTACACTACAAAGCTCACCAATGTACAATGCAAAACTCACATGGAAATGAAGCAAAACTCACTACTTTGAACCCCAAAACTCACCTTTTTTTTTAAATTTTAAAAATTAAAAAACTAATTAAAAATAAAATAACAACACCGGTCAACCACCAGTCAACGGCGGCGGAGCAGCGGCGGCGGCGACCGACGGGGGCTACCGGAGACTGGCGACCGGCGGCGGCGACCAGCTACCAACGGCGGAGGCAGGCGGCGGCGGCTGGCGGTGGTCAATGCTGGCGGTCAACAGTCAAAGTCTAGTAAGCACCCCTTCCTTTGATTTTATTTTTTGAAAAAAAATTCAAAGTGTTGAAAAAAAATAGTGAGCTTTGCTTTACAGTTTGGTGAGCTTTGTAGTTGCCTTTAGTGAGCTTTGCAGTGGACATTAATGAGCTTTGTGTCATCTGACCGAAGCTTGGCATCTTACCGTAAGGTGTCATCTCACCGTATACGATAAATTTTGCATCAATTTTTCATTTATTATGAGAGAAGTAACGGCCGCGAGTAGAGTAGTTGCCTCGCACTGCCACATAGACAATGGATCTAAAAACTGGAGCTTGACATTGTTGTTCTACCCCACAAAGCATTCTAGGTACAAGGCATTCCAAAGACAAACTCTAATTTTAAAAACATAATATAAGTGCAACAACTACAATATTCATTAACATACATTCCAATTACGTAATATAATTAATAACCATAATATTCATTTAGAAAAAGTTTCAACAATATAATCAATCCTTTATTAATATAAAATTTGAGAATTCAAACTATAAGAACGTGACATTTGGCATCCTCATAATCTGCCAATTGAAACTTTTTTTAAGTTGTGTCCACGCGTCACTTCGTCCCCATTAATTCACCGAGAGCAGCTTCCAAATTTAGGCATAAACTGATTCGCCAATTAATCAATCTTTTCTTTGCCGTCGCCAAAGAAAAGTATCCAACATACCTAAATTGAGATACTCGGAATCCGCCCATCTCCCTTGAACTCTTCGGAATATCCAGGCGCCGCAATTCGTTCTCAATTGCACCAATTCTATTCAAATCTTTCCAAGATTGAAGAGGGTTTAATTTAGTAAGCTTTATATTTGGTAAATCTTGCTCAATTAGAAATCGATTCTTCCAAATCGTGAGAAGATTCCTATGAATAGGTGGCCGGTTACGTCAAATATTTCTTTCAAATCGATACTAAGAACTAGAAGTTCTCTGGCTCAGAAAAACGAGAGCAACTCTTTGCCTCAGACTTCCTGCTACCGTTGATCCTAGGGTATTTAGTTGTTCTGACATTTTTATGGTTTATTTAGAGTTTTATATTTATATTCTTCTCTGATAGTTTTTTTATCTACGGATATTTGCTACAATTATCCTACGTATTAAATTCAAGAAGTGTTAATTTGATGTTTTAAAAAATTCAGGTTATATTTGACAAAAAATCTGGAAGAAGCAAAAGATTTGAGCGTTTGGCAAGGCCTAGAGTGGAGGAAGCTGGAGTTCCTGTTTGACAATTAAATGTGCATGTGAGCATTTTTCTCTTATACTATATTCATTTTAACATACATAACACTCAATGATGACAATTTTATTTATGAGCACTTTGTTGAAAACGTGCAATGGTTTCAAATTTCAGTTTTCATAAGTAACTTACTAAGTAGATAAAAGATTTTAGAAATATTTTCCGGTTGAACTAGAGGAATCATTGCCTATCTAAAGAAAGTAAGCTTATTGGTGTGAGATTAGACTTTTGAGCAATCGGGGGTGTTATATATAATTAGTCTCTCACCATGAACCATATCATTTCCAGAACTTAATACAAATTTCTATTTACTGAAAATTGACATTGTTTTTAAGTTTGAACTGGAGTAAGAAGACTAGAGGTTGGTGCCATGGTTCTTGCTTATAGAGGTATTTTTTGTATTGAGGAGTATGATAAACCTAGAGGTTGGTGGATTGAATAAAAGAACTTTTCATAATAACTAATTTTGATGCATTCTTTATTTCATAGACTGGAGGAGGAACACTTCTAACCACATCTAGAGCAAAGAAACAATAATACGGGTATCAATAGTCCATGCCAACCTGAAGTTTATAAGACAAGTACATATGCATCTTATGCCAATTTGAGTATGTGAGAAACCCCCCATGTCGAGATAAAGATTAGAAAATCATAAAATACTTCTATGTTTTTTTGTTAGTTAACACGATCCATGACCTTAGATGACTTTCCATCCAAGCAGCATATCCCTATAGTGTTTTTGGTATGTGTGCAAATGTGCTATCATGTTTTGTTGTTGATTAAGGTTTGTGTATTCATATTTTTTCCTTTGTTCTATACATTCCTTCTTGAAGGCCTTGGTGCTTTTAAGTTATTATTTCCACATTTGTTTATAGGCCTGTATTGGACATGCAAGGTTGTTGGTCAATTGTAGGGTTTTGAATCTGAATTTGTTTGTCCCCTCCACTGATGTTTTCTATCTCAGCATAGTTTGTATTCTTATAGTTGGTGATTTAATAATTTAAATGGCTTAATTTTGGTTATAAATTAAGATCATCATCATTATAAACAAAGTATCTTCTCTTTTATTAAAGATCGGAGAGACTCCCAATCCGACATAGAGTTGAAACTATGGGAACATGATTGAGCTTTGGAATCGGTTGGAATAGGCTCCAGCGAGATAGCACTGAAAAAATTAGTGGACGACATGGCAAGCCGCTGTGAAATTTTTTAGGCAATACCTAGAGCACACAAACTGGACAACAAAATCAGGGAACATATCAGGTAACTTTCATCTATATTTATCTTTTTTATTTATTCTATCTAAATTTACATTTTAAAAATAATTCGGTAAATGTCTGCATGAGTAAGGAACATTGAAAAGGTTTTTCACGGTTCGACAATCGAGAATGAAAGAGAGGGTAGTCATTTTCATATTACTTTCTTTGTAAATTTTTTGTCTTTTTCTTTTAATTAAAAGTAAAGGAATTTTAAAATTTTAAAAGTTTTAGTCATATTTTAATTAATGATGGCCTTGATATTAAAATGAGGACGATATCTGACAAAATAGTTAATTTTAATTATTAATTATACTTTGCATCTGAGTTTTGATGATCTACAAGCTTAATTTAATAACCTTCTTTCATTAAATACATAAATGCCTACATTTTGTTTAATACTCTTATCCTGATAGTGCATGTTTTTCATTCTTTATACTTCTCGGAGATACACACCACCTTTATGGTTAGCTAAGATGGCTAAACAAATCATGATGATAACTTATATGTACTTTGAATATTCAAATCTTTTAATATAAAATTTGAGAGTTTGAAGTGTAGAAAAATGATATGTGTCAATTTAATAGCTTTATTATTAAGACACGTCAGATTACACGCGTCTGATACTTAGACCTTCAACCAGTGAAGACTTTCCTATCAAAAAAGCCTGTCTTCTTCGACTCTCCACGCGGAAATCTTCATCGCATCAACCTATAGCTGATTCTTCTCCAAAAATATCATGGATTTTCTGCGTGATTTCTTCGGCGAAGGGAAGGAATTGTACAGCTACTCTATCAATGAAGGAAAGTCTCCAATTTTGTGAAAAAACGTATTTCAGATCCGGAATTTTCTAAGCGTCAAAACGAGGTATGTTTCCAAAAATCATATGCATCAACTATTCAAGAATCGAGAGGAATTTATTTTTTATTGCTGCCAGCCTGTTCTGGAGATCCCAATTTTTTCCGATCCTATTCCCAATTTTTTACTTCGATCGTAATCCCAATTTTTTTGTTAAATTCATAGATTGCGATATTGCATTGCTAGTATCATATTATACATAATTATATTATGAACAGACACCACGACTTTTTCGCATTTTTTCCCATATAACCTATAGATTCAGACATCTTTTTACATATACCCTCATGTCCACCCATGTTATTTCTCAAACTGCTTAGAGCATCTCCAACCATAATTGCTAAACATGGCTTGCTAAAGTCATTTTTTAGCATGTGAATAGTGGTATAGTAAGCCATTTTGCATTCTCATCTCCAACCTTTCCTTGCTATAATTTAGCTAACAATTATATTATATTGTTTTTACTATTATAATACACTCTTTATAATAATTATTCAATTATTATTTTATATTATAAAAATTTAGTAATAAGTATGTAATTTAAAAATAATAATTTCAAAAAACAACACGGAGTATTGTTTTACGTACTTTAGGGAAAATAATAAAATATACGGAGTATTATTTTAAATATTTAATAAATACCAATTAAAGAGTAGAGAAAAAAAATTTACAAAAACAAAAAATTAGAGAGTTGAAGTAACTTTATATTTTGAGAAGGAGAATGAGAGAAAAGAAGAGAGAAATCATATATTTAATCAATTTCATGATTTGCTATTTTTTGAGAGGCTTGTTATATATAACAAGCCAAAGTTAACATTTACCAAGTATGCTATACTATAGCAAGCCCCTTGGAGCACAAAAATTGAATTGGATTGCCAAATAATAACATTTAACAAGCCAAAACTCAATGGTTGGAGATGCTCTTAGGAACAAGGTAACAAGTCAGAAAGCTAAAATTGGGAGGTCAAAATAAGTGTAGATTCAAAACTCACACTTCCAGGAATGCTACACGCAAAAGTTTGAAAAGTTAGGATCCTAAATAAAATTTCCATTAGGATTAATTACAAGGAAAGCATCTATAAAACTCTTATCATCGCATTTGAAAAGAGGGAACAAATGATTGGGTTAGAGCACTCTAATAGTGATAAGTCTAAAATGTTAATTGAAAATTTAGAGAGTTGTGGATCTGGAATTGAAAATAGGGGTGTTGTTATGACTTCTATGTTCTTGCTTATTATCAATTATATTTTTATTGTTTGTTAGGTTGTATTTATAAATTAATAAAAAAATGATTTTGCGAGAAAAATTGTATATGTGATTGTGTACATATTCTCTTTTTTCTTAATTACATATATTTTCTAAAATAATAGCTAAATTTTGACTTGAACTCAAACTGCCAAGTGTAGATATCAGTTTTTTTCCTCTAAAAAAAGACACTCTGTAATGAATGATTAGACTTTAATCTACTTATCTGCATTTTAGTAGAAAAATACTTAATCATTCTCTCACGGGGTTGTTTTTATTTCTAGCCAAAAAAATTAAGCCAAGCCCAAAACACCAAGCAATCTAAGAGAAAGATAAAATGCAACAAATATTTTTTATTTACACTGTTTGTAGGGCGGCGAAATTCCTTCTTCGTGCGTAAGATGCGGAAATTTCAAATCTTGATCCTAATTATGATTAGTTTTTTTCTTCAATTCACATTAATCAATTGAAGAAAGATTTCCTCGACTTTGCTCATCTATAAATAAAATTAGAAACTATACCTTTCAACAATCTATTCTTGATTTCTAAGTCGTGCTCATACCTAATTCCTTTGCTTAATTCACATGTCTTTTAAAGCCATTCACCATTTGTTGAAGATCAATCCAACCAGTGAACGTTTGAGAGTTTTGGTTCGTGTGATTCGACTGTGTACGTTGTCGGTGTACAATGATGAAAAGGCAACGAAGTCAATTGAGATGATATTCATGGATGAACACGTAAGCAAATCCTTACCTAGAGGTTTCTTTTATTTATTGAAGCAATGATTATACTACGTATTATGCTAATTTTCTTGAGAATCTCATCAAGATAAATGTATTATACTAAATGAGTTTGATTACTTTATAAATGTATAAAGTTTTTGCTACCAAAAAGTGTAATGAAATGGCAATATAGTTTTTGCTACCAAAAAGTGTAGGGCGAGCTTTGGAAATATATTTATCACAAAAGCAATCACATATACATTGTTCTAAAAATTATATTGTCATTTCAGTTAATGGTTTAAATGTTTCAAACCAATTAAAAGATTATTAGAATATAAACTAACAGCTCAGTGACACTGAGTGTTTTTCTGTTGTTATTGTTTAATAAACTAGTTCCCAATGATTTGTGAGTTTTAATTTTCTTTTAACCATTCAGTGTCTTTCCACTTATGAACCAATTAAATATTTTGCACATTGAGTTGAGTCAATTGGTTCAATAAACACAATTTGTTGAATCAAAACACTAAATTTGTATTGCGTTAGCACTCAAAGACTTTCCATTGTTATTATTTAAACGAGTGTTGTGGTATGAGTGTTATGGAATTATTTTTGAACTAATTGTTTATTGTTTGCTTCAATCAATTGGTTAGTGATTTGGTACTTGGAGTTTCATTTAAACCAATGTTTATGTGTATTTATTTGGTCAGTGTTCTATGTGTTTATTGAACCAATACTTCATGTGTTTCAAATTTCTTTTAACCAATAAGTGTCTTGGAATTCTTGAACCAATCCACACTTTTGCATAGATGTCTAAATTCATTGGTATAATAAACTCAGTTTGTTTGATTTCTGTTTTTCTATTATAATCTATTTCCACGGCTATGCTGCATATTCTATTTATTTGAACATTAGCGTATTTTCATGCCATAAATCCAGCAAGTTAGAACTTCTAGGAGATGTTGGCATGTGATTCGCTCATTAATATACAAACCTCGGTTGGGCAACATTGGTTGCGATCAAACTAATTTGAAGTGAATTTAATTTTTTACAACTTTTGGATTATTATAAATGAGGTAAGATGCTGATATGGAGAAGAGGATGCTGTTTGTCTTTTTATATAGCTGCCAGAAACTATGGGCTTTGATATTTGGTATAATGCCCAAGATTATGTTCAATTTGTGTGATTTCACACTTTATATCATAGAAACTAAGACTACCCAAGCTATTGACATAGTACTTTCTATGACATTATTCTAGGGGGTGGAATGGTACATGGATATTCTGACATCAATTCTAGTGCAATGTTGGGTGTGATCAAACTAATGGTAAGTACTTTTATTTTTTGACAGTGGCTTTTGGATTATAAATGCAGTAAAATGCTGATAGTGGGAAAATGTGTTGTCTTTTAAAAAATCGAAATTAACTTTTGTGGCTTTTGCATCTTATGCTAGAAGCCTAACCTATTTAGCCTATGCATTGAATGTGGTATTACCTTTGGATTTGTTGTCGATTTTAATATATGACTCCGTAGTAGTTTGTAAAATGACACATGTATTATAGTCACTGATTTCCTGAGTTGTTTGAGGTCATTGAAGACGTGAGGCTTCCGGAGAAAACACTAATGCCAGCATGCTCTTTAAAGACAATTTTAGAAAACTCCATGTAATAGAATATATAAATACACTTCATTCACCTATATTTTTTTATTAGTATTCAAGTCATCTTCAATCCAAATTGAATCTAGATTTTACATTTTCTTATAATCATGTGTTCCATGGATTCTTTTTTAGAAATGGAAGTTTGTGTTTCTATTATTAGAAGAAACTTTGTAGTCAGCCAATGCAATGAGAACAGTTATTAAAAAAGGTTAATTTTGACATCTACCTCAATACTATATAAATAAATTATATTCTTGGATATTTATTCATCTAACTGTCTACAACAAAATCTTATTACTCCCTTACTTCGATAGCAATAATGTAAGAGCAATGTAACAAAATATGTAAGCGGTGTAAATGTGATTTTGGGAAATTGAGTCAAGGAAAAGTTTTGCATACCTCGAATAAATATGGTACAATTTTAATTAAGGCTACCCCTCAAGTTTTAGATAAGACAATTCCCAATAGTCTTATGTTTTTATGACTATTAACAAAAGTCAAGGTCAAATAACGTCTTTTGTTATGTTATTTTTTAATCAAATTGGTATTCACTCATGATCAGTTTTATACTGATGTTTCACAAGTAAAAACAAAAATATAATTAAAAATATTGGTTCTAGATGGCAATGGAAATCCTTGCAACCAAACCAAAAGTGTTGTATACCATGATTTTTTTTAGAAAATTTGGAATTAAAAAAGACTTAGGCAGCGTTCTGTTCAATTTATTTTTTCTGCTTATTACTTATTCTTATTATAATCAGCAGATCAAACCAGAAACAACTTTAATTATAAGATCAGTACAGCTTTAATTCGAGTACACTTTCGAATCATCAAATATTATTTATTCTAATTTATTGTTGTTGTCTATAAAACTAAAAATTGTGTTAGAAATATATTTTCATGATTTTAGAAATATATTGCATTGAAAAATAAGTTCAGAATCGTCAAAAATTTTGTTCGACCCCGTGCGTGGCATGGATTAGAGTACTAGTTTTTTAAAACAAAGTGACTAAGTTTTGAGAAGAAATAAAAATCCTACTCCGTAATATCTAATAATTAAAAAATAGAGCAAAGTGTCTAAATTTAGATACAATATTATCTTTTTCATGAACCCATTTTATTTTGTTTTCTTTTCTTTTTTTAAGGATTTTTTGAGCAAGTAGTAATATTTTTATGATAAATTAAATAAGTACGGAGTATAATACTTTTTAATAATTCAAATCTGTCAACAAATGTAAAAAGATAATAAAAGCAATGACTTGTTAGTGTAAGACTTGACACTCTACTCACTTGCTACACGCTTACTATGCTATTAAGATTTGAGAATTGGCTTGCCCCCTTTAAACAAAGAAACCGATTTGTCCCTTCCTGTTTTAGAAATTAAAATATTACACCTCTCCTTAACTTGCTCTGGATTGCACAAGTTGATTTTGACATGCAGTTCCAAGACTAGTATCCCCACCCCCACCTGAGATACATACTTTAATTATTCGCGATCTATAGCTTAGTTGGCCATGAGGAAAGAGTGTTAATAATAACTCCGAGGTCCTAGGTTTGATGATTCTCGACAATGACAATGAGAAAGTTAAATTAAATTACAATTTCTTATTCATGAGGCAAAATTTTCTTTTTAAAGTGAATTTATTTAAAATTTGTTATAAGAATAATTCATAATATTTACTTGTTAAAAGACTACGAAAGTTCTACGAAACAAGATATTGCAAGAATATTTTATCAATTGCAGGACGGAAGCAGTATCGCTTTGTATGCACCGGTCATGAGACGATTTCTCTAAGGATCATAAAAAGATTATGGTATGGTTTGGATTAAGCTAATGTATACCAAAAATTGTACACCATTTTGTACCTTGAAAGTATGCACCAGGATTTTGTGTTAGTGTAATGTTAGTTTGATTGTTCACACTTACATAAAATGTCAGTATACATTTTTTTTATTGAATTAGTATTGTGTGTCAGTATAAACCGTTAAAATGTCAGTGCATCCCTTTGAGGTACAATTTGAAGTGTTTTTTGGTGTACTCCTAAGAATGGTTGGATGTGATCTACTCTTTCTTCCATGTTCCATTTTTTTAATAATAAAAAATATTATTCTCGAATCTCGATCCATTCAAAGCACGTCCACATGCAAATTGTGTTTAGATAAACACATTGACACACACACAAGTGACTGAGTTGAAAATCCCTCAATCTAAGGCCATTAATGTCCTCTAAGCTTAAGGTTAGAGTAGTACTCCCTCCCTCCACAAATAAACTTTATGTTGCGCGTTATGATGTTTGACTAAAATTATTTTCAAATCATTTTATATGAAAAATGATGTAGAATTGAAAAATAAAAATTACATATTAAAAAACTATATCAAAAGATTTACAAAACTAGAGGTGACATGATTGATGATAAATGGCCCCACCAAAGGGTAGCTCTTCTTCATAATCATGCATTCATTATACGTGCTTGCTTCTCTGTATCTATATAACCACATGCTTATCCGCCCCCCATCCTTTATTAGCTTCCACTCTCGTCTTTATTAAAGATATTCCCGCCGAGAAGAAAGTGATTTATTGCAGCGGTTGAGTTTCCGGCCGGAGATATGGAGCTGAGACGGTTGTTGTTGGCCACTCTGGCGGTCCTGTTCTCCTCCGTTGACCTTTGCGTCCATGCTTGCTCGCCGGCGGACCTGGCTGCTCTGCTTGACGTCAAGGCGGCTCTCGACGAGCCGTACTTGGGGATTCTGGACACGTGGAGCGGCACCGATTGCTGCTCCGGCGCCTGGTACGGCGTCAGCTGCGACCCTGCCACGAAACGGGTGGCGGACCTCAGTCTCCGGGGAGAATCGGAGGACAAGGTCTTTCAGAAGGCCGGCCGGTCCGGGTACATGAAGGGCCGGATTTCGCCCTCGGTCTGCAAGCTAGACCGCCTGAGCACACTGATTCTGGCGGACTGGAAGGCCGTCTCCGGCGAGATCCCGCCGTGCGTCGCCACGCTCCCCAACCTCCGCATCCTCGACCTCGTCGGGAACCAAATCACCGGCCCGATTCCGTCCAACATCGGGCAGCTGACCCGGCTCACCGTTCTCAACCTCGCCGATAACCGAATCTCCGGCAGCATCCCCCCTTCCATCGTCAACCTGAGCAGCCTAAAACACCTAGATCTCAGCAGCAACCAGCTCTCCGGCGAACTCCCCGAGAATCTCGGGAACCTCCAGATGCTAAGCCGCCTCCTTCTCAACAAAAACCAACTCACCGGTCCAATCCCGGCCGATTCAATCGCAAACCTCCGCCGCCTCGCAGATCTAGATCTATCGATGAACCAGATCTCAGGTTCAATCCCGGCTCAGCTGGGATCGATGGCGGTTCTCTCCACCTTGAATCTCGACAGCAACCGCCTCTCCGGCGGGGTACCCGCCGATCTGCTCGGCAGCACGGGATTAAACATCCTCAATCTGAGCAGGAACTCGCTGGAAGGAGAGTTGCCGGACGTATTTGGATCGAAGACGTATTTCACGGCTCTGGATCTGTCCCACAACAACCTGAGAGGCAGAGTGCCGAGATCCTTGTCGTCGGCGAAGTACATCGGGCACTTGGATCTGAGCAACAACCATCTCTGCGGCACGATTCCGACGGGATCGCCGTTCGACCACCTCGAAGCGTCTTCTTTCTCCAACAACGATTGCTTGTGCGGATCGCCATTACGCACTTGTTAATTAATTACTGTATTATAAGTAATCGATACGATTTTAAGTAATTAATTAATTAATTGCTTTATTTGTGGGTGTAATTGTCCAATCGCTTGCCATGAAATCACTGCATGTAGGTATTATTTGTGCAATAAATACTCAGCTACCAATCAAAAATGTTGCCAACTTGATATTTCGAGTTATAAATTCCTTCCAAATTAATTTTTTCAATTTTTATTATGGTCTCTCACTAACTAATACTTGTATGTATGTTTTATTGATTACTCCCTCCGTCCCCCTGTATTTGTCCACTTTCATTTTTACACACCACCCAATGCACTTCTTTAATCCATTTTATCTTGTAATTTATATATTAAAAAATTATAGAAATTATATATTAATAATCTATATGTTAAGACAAATCAAACAAGATCACACATGACTATATTTAGGCTTACACATTGAGAGAATTTGACGAGTCAAAGTGCTTAGATGAACAGTTTCAAAAGTCAAATGTGGACAAATACAGGGGGACGGAGGGAGTATTTGATAAAATAAGGTATTTTTCTCATTTTTTTAATAAAAAATCTCATCATTAATTCATGATATCAAAATGTAAAGCATCACAAAGATCCACTCCATATAATCAGATGCTCTAACCAAGATATGAGCGACTTGATTCATTGATTTTCGAACAACGGACCATGAGAGTGGACAAACTCTACTGTTAAACATAAACAATGAGCAATAACACCTAAAAAGTAAGAGCTATCCTCCATATTGGTTTGCACCTTTCGAAATACAATTGCGTCATCCATCTCCACCTCGATCGCGCAGCCTACATCGCCTCCTTTAAGCCATCTCAAAGCCTCCTAACTCTCATTGCCTCCGCCATGAGTGCATTATCCACACAACGCAGCCCCTTGTATGCTCCTCGAAGAAAGCCTCCCGCTTAGTCACGAACCCCCATTCCCACCGTAGCCTTCTTTGACCAAGAATCATATGCCGCATCTATATTACATTTGATGACACCATTGCCCAACACCCTCCATTGCATTTGCCCGGGGACTGACGGTGCACGAAGTCTCTGCCCATGATCTTGTGCCTCCTCCCACACCCATACCACCTTGTGACCTTCGACACCAGTGTTACGTTCTAGGCTGAATACTCTTACTATACACACCAATTGGTTTCCTTGCAACCACACCTCCCACAGGCCACATCACCATGACAAGCTTGGAAACCATTCTCTTATCCAAACTAACCCGAGCGACCTCGATCCATTGATCAAACGTAGCCTCTGCCTTCGAGATCCCCGGGCCCCAGTAACTTCTCTCAAACATTGCTCTGCAAATGGACAGTATACCAAGTAATGAAGGACAGTTTCAGGCTCGTTGCGCATCTGGGACAGGTATCGAACACAACAACACTCTTCTGAGCCAAATTTGAACATACCGGTAGCGCCCTCCATAACAAATTGGGCGGCACCGGTAGCCTCGGTGTGTATCGTCCCATATTATCACCTGGCCACATCCACCAATCCTCCCCCTGATTCATATTCGTAAAGGAATAATGTTACAAATTATTGCAGCACCCTCATTTATAAACAAAGCCTCCACCAACACTAAATCCACTTTGCTTGTCTCCAGTGGCCGATCTAGAAAAAAATATTGACTAGGGACACCATGCATTAGCTATAAACACATGGTGGAGTTCGGAAAACGTCACTAGAATTTTTTTCAAAGACAACTTGAAATTAAAAAAAAAGATTCATATCAAAAAAAAAGTATTCAAATAGTTAAAATTAAATAAAATATTCCAAACTAAAAAATTGGAAAAAAAGGACCAAACTCGGAGTAAAACATAAAGAGAGTACCGAAATAGAAGCTCCATGTTTTTTATCCCAAAATATGAGTATAATGGCAATAATGCCATTTTATAGTACAAAAAAAATACAGTGAGAATGTGAGATGTCACTACACAGTATCATAATATTATAATGTAAATTCTTATTTTGGTGATCAAAACATGATATTCCTATTTTGAGAATAAATGCTACTCTCTCCGTCCACCTAAGATCTTCTATTGCGCGTTACGAGACTTGACCGACTTTATTTTCAATTCAATTTATTTGAATATAGGGGTAAAATTTTAATATAAAATCTATGTAGTACTCCGTAATAAACTACACGAAAATTTTTACAAAACAAGAGATGACAACACTATATTATTTTATAAAATGAGTAGTAAAAATAAACAAACAAAATGAATTAAGTTTGACCCTGTGAATAGTGTCTGAGAAGATCTATGGTGGACAGAGAGAGTATTTTTTACTCTTATTTCGAGTGCTTTTTTTTAGAAAAAATATACTTTGTACTTTACAAATTAGAGAATAACTTTATTTACTCCATAATTAGTATCATATTATAATAATTTATTTTCAAATTTATTTAAAAAATTTACTTTATAGATACATATATTTTTTAATACATCAATTTACATCTTAGTTCAATTATGTTTAAAAAAATTTACTCTCAATTCTATCTCACTACCTCGTTAACAATTTTATTCATTAATATATATCAAGATTTCAAGATAAAAATAACCTATTAAATTCAATTAAATAAACAACCTCATATCCTTTTTTCATGCAAATTAGTAGAAAATACTGCAAATAATATTTAACCTTACAAAATAACATGAACCTAATTTTTGGATACAAAAAGGAATACAACTCGATTTATCAAAAAGAAAATAAATAAATAATAAATGAGGCATGTGGACAATTCCCTACTAGGCACAACTTACTATTTTTCTTCTTTTTTTTTTTGAAAATTTCATACTCCGTAATTGTGATGAATTTTCAGTTGGAGTTAGCAAGTGGAGGGGGCATTCATATTTCATTATTTTGCACCGGTGCATGTTTTTAATAGAAGTATTATCCTTTCGAGGCAGCCATTGCATATTTTTAATACAAGTAGATTTACTATCACTAATTCTCCTAATGCAGCCCCGCCATAGCACACCAATCCCCTTCTTCAGAGATCTCTAAATGAAGCTTGGGTTATGAGTGAGTCAAGGGTCAACCGGTCAAATCGGTTAAACCTGGGGTCAATGACTCAGTCAACTATAATTTAAAATATATATTTTATATTATATTATGAGCTATTTTTAATTAATATAATTTATTGTACTTTTTCACTTATATTATGAGCTATTTTCACACTTCCTATTTTTTATTTCTACTATTTTTATTTATAAAAAAGTTAAAATTTCTTCTCAAAAAAACTTAAATAATAAAGCAATATTAATATTTTCAAAAACTTAAATGTTCCATAGAGTTGGGACGATAGCGTTGGAAGTGTTTTGGGGCGAGACTAAAAAAGAAGAATCATTGATGTGACTGTTGAAATATTGGAATGACAATATTGCTCTCATTTTAATTATGGAATACATGATAGAGTATATATAGGAGAGATTCCTAACACAACTAGGAATAGAGAATGGAAACTAACTAACATACAACATCTACTATAAATAGGACTAGGAAGCTGACTAATAATGAAACACTACCATAACCAATACTACCAGAAGTAATATTAGTATTATTGTCTAACATTCCCCTCAAGCTAAACTCTGGCTGAAGCAAGAGCAAGCTTGGACACTAGCTGGAAACTGGAAACTTTGAGAAGAGAGAAGTCTGACATGCGCCGGTGGCTGCTCACGTCGTTGGAGAAGAGACAAGTCTGACGTGCGCCGGTGGCTGCTGACGTCGTTGGAGAAGAGAGAAGTATGACGTGCACTGGTAGCTGCTAACGTCGTTGGAGAAGAGAGAAATTGACGTGCGCTGGTAGCTGCTGACGTCGATGAAGAAGAAAGAAGATTTAAGCCCAATTTGTGTTTTGCACGTCAATCTTTAAATGATTTAAGCCCACTCCTACGTATAATACGTACTTAAATTATTCTCTAGAACATTTTGTTCATTTTACATAAATAATTGCACAAATTTTTAAATCAAAATTTATATCATATATTAAAAATAACATTCAATTTTCTATTATTTTCACAATACATATTGTTCAACCAATTTAGTTTGCATACACGACATAATACTTTAAAAAAATAAATTGCAATATATATCCAATAAATAATTTGCAGCAATTGAATTTGCAAAACACAAAAAAATATGTGATTGAGTATAATTTGTTTACTCGAGTGTATTATATACGGAGTATATATTTGTATTAATACAATATTAAATATAGTTAATTAATTCGAATTTCCACTTGAACTAAATATTTGGACTCTGTACAACTTTTTATAAGTTTGTGGGTTTAGAATTACAGATTGGGGATTTTTTTATTAAATATATTGACATAGTCAAATACCCTACAATTTATTTTCATTTTTTGTTTGTATTCTTTTACAATTTGTTTTTACTTATAATTTTAAAGTGTGATAAAGATGGATATGTTCACATCTTTTGTCCTCGTTTGAGCATTTTGACAAATAGTAGGTCGGATTACCGAATTTTATCTTAAAATATACTCCGATTTTCTTTCTTGTGTAAAATTTCATCCATTACTTTCAAAAATCAATTTGAAAAATTTAGGGAGAAATATCAAAGTAAGACTAAAACATTGAAAATATGCCAGAATAAACTTTCATGTTTTTATTCCTAAAATAGGATTTACATTACCAAACATGATCATATACATTACAAAAAATGTATGGTAATGTGCACATGTACACTGCCACATTACCACAGTGCAAAGCCACATTACTACAGTGCAAAGTCCTATTTTGAAAAAAAAACATGAAAGTCCTATTTTGATACTTTTCTCCATTTTTTAGTCCTCTTTAGGGCGATTTCTAAAAAAATTATTTAAAATGTCCGTCCGTTTATTATAAGTTTAATACGGAAAACAAACTGCCAAAGATTTTGTCGTCCAATGACATCGTTATGACTCCCCTAAATAGGGTGTCATTTGTTTAAACTATAGTGGGAGCGATAACTTACTGAACCTCAATAGGTTAAAAAACCATCCTAAATAGAAGTAAAAAATATAGAGAAAGTATCAAAATATGAAGTCTATGTGTTATCCCCAAAATTAGAGTTTCTACTATGGTAATGTGGCACAACATATGAACATTTCATAATACATTGTGGTAATGTATATGGTCGTGA